GGGAATCCGTTCCCATTGGAACAGATTATCTGGTTTTCAATGCATCTCTATGGGAAAACGCGTTTCGCTTAGCGATGTTTTCCCATAGCGATGAATTTTTTGGAACCAATTAAAATCGTTAAGCGAGGCACCACTGTATAACCCTCTTCCAGTATCAGAGTACTATACCAGTTCTGTAGCTACTTCCTTTATTTACTTTTTAAAAGGGCAGCTCCAGTCACTTATCTCCGACGGCCCAGTTATCTCCCAGTTTGGTGTTTAAATTCTGTCAGCTTGAAATCTTTGGAAACAGCTGGAAGGTAAGTAGGAATGTATTGACTTAATTTACGTTTGTATGCCCATAGAAAATACAAAGCTCTATAAGGAAAAACATACCCAGCATACAAGAAAGAAAGAAGCTTATCCAATAAGCTCAACTTTCCACTGGCTTCAATGAGATGATCTCCAATGATAAACGGCTCTGGTTCAACACCTAGAACAGAAAAAGGGTTTTCGCAAGTAGCATATCTACCAGTCTGAAGTACAAAGGCCTGCACTGGAATATGTCTTCTAAGATGAAACATAGTGACATCTAACTGCTCCCAAGCACTCTCAAATAAATTCTGGAAAGGACCTGAAAATCTTTGGGATAGCTCTAAAAGCAGCCCAGTGTATGACAAGAGAGCAGAAGGCAAGGAAGCACACGGATTGTTAGAAGAATTCTCAAGCAGCAATGATGAGCACCCGCTCGAGACTTGACCCACAGGCAAGCTTTGCAATGGATCATATGGTGCAGCCTAGGCAATGTGCATCATTCACCAGATAATACACTTTCTTTTTACAGTGGTAACTCGATTTGAGAATGTCCCCACATACGAACAATCCGAATTAAGAACGGCTCTGTTAGCAAAAAGTTGCTTCAACTTGAGAACAGAGCCTCGACTTAAGAAGAAAAAAAAAGGAAGAAAAAAAAACATTTCTTGCCCTTTTTTTGACCTAAGTTCACCTTAGGTCAAATGAAGAAAAAAAAGTCACCCCCTAGTGGTAGATACAGATTAACTGGCTTTGCAGTAGTTACTATGGGAACTAATGCTTCGATTTAAGAACAGCGCCTCAATTTAAGAATGAAAAACAGCAGATATGGATTAAATGGTTTTCAATGCATTCCTATGGGAAATGGTGCTTTGACTTAAGAACGTTTCAACTTAAGAACGCAGTCCCAATACGGATTAAGTTCTTAAATCGAGGTACCACTGTACATGTAAATCTCAATGAGACCCATTTTGATTAAAAAGCTGTTAAACCCAAAACTGAAAAGCAATAAATATATGGTTTGTTTCACATACACATTAAAAAAGAATTGGAAAGAAGTGCATGCTTTATAGTTCTCAGTACTCTTCAAACATTTGATTAACAGTTCTGAGCAGCTTCGTAGAAGTCAAAGAAGATTGAGCTAGGAATTACAGTCCCGAAGTGAAGCAGGAATGGCCACCACAGGAAAGGTCCAAGAGCCGCATCTTTCCCTTCTTTAAAAAAGGAAATGCTTCTTTCACAAGCCCACAGTACCGGGGGAAACATAGAAGACAAGTGTCCTTTTAGATCATCTGAGCCCTAAAGTCCATTTAAGGTGTCTGAAGGCCAGCACTACACTTTTGAGACATAGTACTTTGCTCAGGAGCATGCCAGGCTGCATAATGTGATTCTAACAAAGGGAGGTCTGACTCCTAATTGAACTATGCTAATCAACATTACCTTTTAAATGGATTATGTTTTATTCTGTTATCTATCAATCACCTCATCACCACTAACAACCAGCTTTTCACCTATTCTGCTGCTTTAGTGGAGATGGAACAGAAGAAGAGACGTAAGAGAGACCAGTTTCAGATATGACGATCAAGCAGAAATTATGGAACCCTTTAAGCCATTACTGTACAATCCCAAACTCCTCTTACATGCTGTGAGGGAGTTTATTTATGGGAAGTTGTAGCCAATCCCATATTCCATTATATCTGTAATAAAGAGGAGTGGAAAGCCATGCACAAATTATAAGTTGCATATGTAAAGGCTAGAGATGGTTTGTGGGCCAAATTTACCTCACGTTATTTCCCCACTAAAGTGGCAAATGCCTCTACTTAGGGCTTTGCCCAACATCATGATTCATTGGCGAGCCAGTGCTTCAAGGCAAAGCAAGACTGTTGAAGAAATACCTCCCCAGGCAATGTTCCCTCTAATTTTCATTTCTGCTACACAGAAGCCTCACCCTGTGTGCACAAGGAGGGCAGGGGCTTAATCTGAAAAAGGAAGTAAACAAACCAGCTGCCTGCGAGCAGCTGCGATAAGAGCTCAGCTCACAGGGACCTTAGAGGGAACACTGTCTCCAGGACTTTGCTCACTCCTTGCCTTTCACAACGGATCTGCTCAACAGACCAATACAACAGCCATGTGGCTTTACAGCAGCAGATTCTAGTCACATATGTCATTCTTACCACTGAACAGGTAGGGATGTGCTACGCATTTCCGGAGTTGGATTAACACATTCAGGAGCTTAGCTTTCTTCCCCGTTTCACTTTCAAATGCATCTGAAATGTGAAAGATTCTTTAAAGGAGACACTTAGCTATATGCTAAGTTTTATCAGAAAGGTTTAATGATCAAGCAAAACAGCTGTTTTTGTTTAAAAACGGACACCAGCAGTGCGCGTTTTTAGCTTCAAACTCAAATTTAATATTTAAATTAAGGCAAGATAAGCCAACTAAATGAGAACACATAGATGGCATACTGGAAACCTGACAGAAGATAAAAGAGCAGTAAAGTGATGTTATTTCTGGTTACAAACCCTATAGAAGGGACAGGAAAAAGAATACAGAGGGTTGCTTTGTGTTTCAATAATTATGTAGTACAGAGCTAACAGCAGATGGAATCAACAAGCCTGAAAAGTAATTTAGCACTGGTGAAATTACTATCTCCTTTCTTACCAAAATGTTCCAGGTGATCTACCAGTGCCCAACCTTTTTGACACCACAAACTGGTTTAGCATGGGGGGGGGGGCAGTGTCTCGTTTGTTGTGTCTGCGTATAGGAGTACATCTGTGTGTGTGTGTCTATGTTTGTGTGGGGAGTGTCCATGGGGGGCAGGCAGGAGATCTGTCTCCACGGACCAGTCATGCCAAGGCCACAGACTGGGAGTGGTCTGTGGCCTGGGGACCCCTGATCTAGACAATGGAGAAAGGTAGCAAAATCATGTCAGAAGTCAGAATCTCCTGCCCTCATACTGGCTGTGTAAATACATTTAAACTGTGCAAATACATTGAAACTGCCTAGAGTGTTCGCAAGACCAGATAGGCGGGATATAAATAGAATAAATAAAATAAATAATAAATGCAAAGACAAAAATCTCTAAATATGATGAATGGTTGTGCTTTGAAATAGTAGATCAGGGCACGGCTGGAAGGGAGAGCATTTTGGCTTTCATCTATAATTGGATCTAGGAGCTGGTGGGAGACGTAAATCATTGCTGAATCACACTGCTCCCAACCGCAACTCCTATATACATTAAAAATATATGTAATGGACGTGTAAAAACTGGTCACATTTAACTCCAGATTTCAACTGTATCAAAATGTCCATCATCTTTGTATAGTATGTTTCTCAGTGCTGTTCGCCTCTGTGCGCTAGCAGTGATAAGATGCTGTACTCAAGAGACAGATGTTCTTTGTCATCAATATGTTGAATAGTAACTGGTCTGATTTAAGGGCAGGAAATAAAAAAATTGAGGAAAATATTGCTTAGGCAAGACTGTCTGATTTTAAAGTTTCTTGTTTTAAAATGAAAACACACACACACACCCCAAAGCTAACATTAAACAAAATGACCAACTCAAAATTCTTCCACTTTTCCATTTACCTAGGTCTTTCATCAAAATAGCCTTATAAAATTTTCTCTGCAGTGCTGACATTCCATGGTAGAGAATCACTTCTGACTTCTTTGGGATTTCTGCAGCAACCTCTGTCTTCACTCTTCTGAGCAAGAAGGGCTTCAACAGACTGTGCAGTTCTTTGGCTGAGCAAGGGAGACAGAAATGCTGTTAAGAATCCTGTATTTTAGGGAGTGGGTGGGGGGGGGTCTATTGGTGCATGCATGGGGGGGCGTCCGTCCATGCATGCAGGTGCGTATGTGTGCTTCCGTGGGAGGGTTTGTGTGTGTCTGTGTTTGTGTGGGGAGTGTCCATGGGGGGCAGGCAGGCATCCATGCATGTGGGGAGATGGGAGATCTGTCTCCACGGATCAGACTGGGAGTGGTCTGTGCCCTGGGCAGTGTCTACGCGTTTGTGTCTGCGTATAGGAGTACATCTGTGTGTGTGTGTCTATGTTTGTGTGGGGAGTGTCCATGGGGGGCAGGCAGGAGATCTGTCTCCACGGACCAGTCATGCCAAGGCCACAGACTGGGAGTGGTCTGTGGCCTGGGGACCCCTGATCTAGACAATGGAGAAAGGTAGCAAAATCATGTCAGAAGTCATCCATGCATGTGGGGAGATGGGAGATCTGTCTCCACGGATCAGACTGGGAGTGGTCTGTGCCCTGGGGACCCCCGATCTAGACAATGGAGAAAGGTAGCAAAATCATGTCAGAAGTCAGAATCTCCTGCCCTCATACTGGCTGTGTAAATACATTTAAACTGTGCAAATACATTGAAACTGCCTAGAGTGTTCGCAAGACCAGATAGGCGGGATATAAATAGAATAAATACAATAAATAATAAATACAAAAATCTCTAAATATGATGAATGGTTGTGCTTTGAAATAGTAGATCAGGGCACGGCTGGAAGGGAGAGCATTTTGGCTTTCATCTATAATTGGATCTAGGAGCTGGTGGGAGACGTAAATCATTGCTGAATCACACTGCTCCCAACCGCAACTCCTATATACATTAAAAATATATGTAATGGACGTGTAAAAACTGGTCACATTTAACTCCAGATTTAAGATGCACAGACTTTCCACTCCCCTGTTTTGTGGGAAAAAAGTGAGTCTTATGGTGCAAAAAATACAGTATGTAATGGACAGGTAAAAACTGGTCACATTTAACTCCAGATTTCAACTGTATCAAAATGTCCATCATCTTTGTATAGTATGTTTCTCAGTGCTGTTCGCCTCTGTGCGCTAGCAGTGATAAGATGCTGTACTCAAGAGACAGATGTTCTTTGTCATCAATATGTTGAATAGTAACTGGTCTGATTTAAGGGCAGGAAATAAAAAAATTGAGGAAAATATTGCTTAGGCAAGACTGTCTGATTTTAAAGTTTCTTGTTTTAAAATGAAAACACACACACACACCCCAAAGCTAACATTAAACAAAATGACCAACTCAAAATTCTTCCACTTTTCCATTTACCTAGGTCTTTCATCAAAATAGCCTTATAAAATTTTCTCTGCAGTGCTGACATTCCATGGTAGAGAATCACTTCTGACTTCTTTGGGATTTCTGCAGCAACCTCTGTCTTCACTCTTCTGAGCAAGAAGGGCTTCAACAGACTGTGCAGTTCTTTGGCTGAGCAAGGGAGACAGAAATGCTGTTAAGAATCCTGTATTTTACTAGCTGGTACAGGAAGGTCCAACACTCACTCAGTTGTGTCTTCTGGAAGCGCACTACACTTGCCAAGCTATGTTGTTGTTGTTTTTAAAATGTGAAGGAAATGTCCAGGATCCAAGAGAAAACACTATGGAGAGCCAGCATGCCTTTTCTTCAAAGGGCACACTAAAAAAAAAACAATGACATGAGCAAGAAAGAGCTGTTTTTGGCCTCAAACTTCTACAGGTATTTTCATAATCACCTTCCTATTTGGCGGGCTAATGAAAAAAATGTCATGGCAGGAAGAAAACAGAACTCCTTTGCCCTTCTCTGCATTCCAAGACGGACCCATAATTAGAATATTTTCAAGTACTCTTGGCAAAATTATTTCTGCCCTGAGGAGAGAGGTGCTTCTCTTTCGTGTCCAAAAGCAAAAACTATACATCTTACTGCAAGGAAAGCATTCAAGCTTTTAAACTCTGAGAACTCCCATTAGCAGAGGCAAGCTGGCTAAAATCACATCCATGAGAGTCACAGTAACTTTGGAATATTCTGTCTTAGTTCTATAGATTGAAACATCATCCCAAGCTGAAGTGGAACATCAGAACGTATAACAGACAACAATTTATCAATTATTTATCGATCTATGCAACGTTGGCATCTGCGTGCGACTGAGACAAAAGAAAGGCAGAAAAACACGTAATTCTGAAGCCACAACAAACAATTACCCCAATTGTTAGCATACTGCATGCAACAGCTGACATCCAGTCACAACATTTTTACTTGCCTTTTTGGCTTTCTTTTTCAATCCCATGGTAATAGTGAACAAATTCTTCAACTAGCTCCTTAGGGAATATGTCTTGTTCAATAAAAGCAAGCATGGCATATAACTCTTGGAGACTGTTCTGAATAGGAGTACCTGTCAGCAAGAGGCTGAAATCTGTTGAAAACTGAAAGGAATCCAGAACACATAGTTTAGGTATTGCAGGAATAAGTCACGTATTATCATTAGAGACGAGCACAAACATTCATGCTGGTTCGTCTGCTGGTCCAACAAGTGTTTGGTGGTTCTGAATTCTGCCTCCTCCTGTGGCCACCCCATCAGAGGGAGCGCGTTGGCTTCCCCTCCCTGCCTCCTCTGGGCGCTACCTCTCAGTGGGCACCTGCTTGAGGAGGCGGGGCTGGGAACCGTGAAACACCTGTTGGACCGATGAACAAACTGCTGGGTGGTACCTGTAGCATTCAGCCCTGCCCTCACCTGTCCGTCACAGCTGGGCAATGGAACATCAGCCAATGAGGGGACGGAAGGTGGTGCCGAAGGGGGAGGAGCTGGTATATATAAAGGGGTGTATGAGATTAGAGTGGGATTTTGTGAGAAATAGTGATGAGAGTGTCTATGGGCCTATGAGCCAAACAGTCAGTGAGGGAAATGTCTGTGTGTGTGTCAGTGAGAGACCTTGATTAACATATTGTGATTTACTTATTTTGTTTTTATTAATCAAATAAACTAGTTTAAGTTTTGAAGAAACACATGATTCAGTGATTTATTGGTATTGAAACAACAATACCTGGTGGCAGCTACCTGAGAAGAAGAGTGAGCACTCCTGGAGGCCTGAGTTGGTAGAGGCTTCAGCGTGCCCGCTACAGTACCCATTTCTAATTATTATCTGAACTGTTTCTACCACAAAGGTGGTCTAAGAATAGGGGGAAGTAAGGAGGGACTGTGGCTTGGTTCCAAGGCTTTAAAAAAAGAGTTCTTTATATTACAGAGCCTCGTGGCGCAGTGGTTAAACCGCTGTACTGCAGCTAAAACTGTGCTCATGACCTGGGGTTCAAATCCCAGGTAGCTGAACCGATGCACAAACTGCTGGGTTGTACCCATCTCTAATTATCATCTGAACTGTTTCTACCACAAAGGTTGTCTAAGAATAGGGGGAAATAAGGAAGGACTGTGGCTTGGTTCCAAGGCTTTAAAAAAAGAGAGAGTTCTTTATATTAGTTAAGCAGAGCAGATTTAGTTTTGAATTATCTTAGCTAAACCCTTTCTTTCCTTTCCAAGTACTGTGGTATCCAGACTGAATCCCAAGGACAAGATAAAATCCCCAAACAACAAAACAAAGCCCAGACAAAATATCCACACACATTCAAGAATGGTAAAAGTGCCTTCACCTAACAGTGTTCCAATGAGACAACATGCTATTTATGCTTGAGAAGACGACAACTATACCACTATTTTACCTCAGAGAGTGTTTTATGAAGCAATGAATCCTGGTTCTTCAGTCTGTGAGCTTCATCCACAACAAGACATGCCCAATTAAAGCTGAACACAAAACAGGGATATTAGATAACTCACATATATCAGGGACATCCAGACATGAAACGCTTGCTCAGTTCTACCACTCAAGCGTTCCAGGGTTCCCTTCACCTTGGTCCCAGCTGAACAGACATCATCTCTCATCGTGGATACCACCATTTTTCCTTTTTATTAGGTTGTTGTTCTCTCCAAGGCTCTGCTTAAAGTCTAAGGCAACTTACTAAGGCCATCAGTTTTTCCATTTACCTCCTCTAACTCTACTGTATAGGTAAAAACCCAAATGTGACGTCCTTGGAAGGTGCTCACCTGAGGAGCCTTTTTTTTTAAAGTATAAGATTAAAATGATTTTACCACTGCCATAATACAGACCCACACATTTTTGCATATACTGTTCCAAGACTGTAGGTTTGGAGAGAGTGGAGAATGGAGCCAGAATGACTACAGATGTTTGCTAATTCCCACATGCATGTTAAACATCCTAAACATGAAGCTGTAGTGATTCTCAGGTGGCTGGTGAAGGAACAATCCAACCATACTAGAACGGATCCAACAGGGGAACTCTACAGGTAAGATGAAAGCTGACTTGAGGAGAGTTCCAAATCTGTGAATTCAAAAGCTTGTTTGGGCAAAAATTAGGGAGGGTAGGCCAAAAATATCCCAGCAAGGACTGAGCATGTGCAGTAGAAATTCATAATCTATGGCATCCTGTTTAGCAGCAACTCCCCCTTCTCAAACAAACAAAAGGAGTAGAAGGCAATATTTTCTTAATGCTCCAGATACTAAAAAAGAGGTGGGTGGATGAGAAGCGGAGCCTTCCTTGATCTGTCAAGGCAGTCCCCGGCCCCACAATGAAAAAGAAAGTGAAGAGGCTGTTCCTCATAGAGTTTTGGGAGGTTGAAGCCATATAAAATGGCCTTGGGGAAAAAAAACAGGAAAAAAACATTTTTTTCCTCCAATTTTTCAGGTTTTTTTACCCCGACTCCCAATCTCTACTGACAACATAACACACTTGTGACTCTGGAGGAACCATGAGTAGAGATGGGAAAGCTTTTGGGGGGGGGGAAGAAAAACTGGGGAAAGACAGTTTTTCCCCAAAGCCTTTTTATATGGCTTCAAAATTTCTGGAAAGTTTACATCTTTGCTCAGAGGCAGGGTAGGGTTAATGTTCCCAAACAGTGATAAGATGAGAAGACAATGGAACAGATCATTAAAAGAGAGATGATTCCCAACAATCCAAGAAAGCCTTCAAAGCAAAGAGGTGCCAGATAATTCATTCAGTTCAGCAGCCTGCTTCTGGGGGTAGAGTTTGCCAAACTGAGTACAAATTAAACAGCTCAAGCCAGTGGCTGCAATTTAAGCAGACTTGATGTCAACAACCTTTGACCTTTTCCTACCCTTCTGCTGCTACTGGAGAAACGCTGCACAAAGTCTTAGAAAACCAAGCTGCAAGAGGAGCAGCTCTTTTCTCTAGGCATCCATCCTATGAGGCACCCATGTGAGTCCACCTTGCTTCTCTCTGATGAGAGGTTTGGTTGGTCAGTTCCAGCCTAGATGAAATCTTACAAAACTTTAAAAGATGGGATTATGTATACCCCTTCACAAATCATGTGCACATAGAATCTGTGTCACAGCACATTAAGAAGATCATCAATCAGTTAACACGTCTCACATTACTTTAAAAAGCTTAAGAGAAAGTTTGCCTATTCTGTTCTACAAGGGATTCCAGGAAACACATACAACATTTTGCTCACAGCCCGTTTAATCTGTCAGTGAATAAAACTATATGACTTAAACCCCTAACTGCTCAAAGCTGGCTTCAAGACAAAAATGTACTTCCTCTGAAGAAGACAGATAGCCAAATCTGAAAAACTTGTGGTTAACAAACTGACTTCTGTAAATGCAATGTTCTCACCATTTTAAAAATGCTGCATCTCTGAGACATATCTGCAATTAAAGTGGGAAAAAAGTGTTATTCATAGTCTTCTGTGATATCGTGACAGCAAGAGCACTCAAGCTGGCTATAGCTTCAAAGGAAAGCTACTTTATGTGTCAAGACACAATGCGCTTCCCCCTTCCTATACACTCAGGAGGAAGTCTTCACGAACGATTCCAGTGTGGTGTAATATATGAACTAGAAATGGTGGAAAACACACCTTGCTTAAACACAGGATTAGGTGTCACCTTTTATTGGACCATTAAAATTTTAAAGCAACAGCTGTCGTGGATGGAATCCACCTCCTCAGGCTCTAAGCACACTCCCTTCATGGACGGTGCAAAAAAAATGCCCAGAAATTGATGAACAGAACTGATATTGTATATAACTTAGTTAAACAACATATATAAATCATTGTCAATATTTTGCTTATTTAGAAACTGACTGGAGCTTGTTTAACCTATGGCCCCTGCTTCCTGCTTAACTTTTGACAGTAAAACTAAACACTACACAGGCCCGTTTCACAGTCATTCAGGAGGATAAGAAAGGAAGAGGGAGCGCATGAACTTGATACTTTGTTCTGACTCAATTAGAGGCCCCTTCCAGCTCCTTTATTCTGTTATTCTATGATTTAGCTTGAAGCAATTAAGCCAGAGAGTAATTTGCACCGATTCAGTTCTGAGATGAGCCAAATGCCAAGGTTTTTCTCCCTCTCAAGGACAGAGTGAGGTTGAGCCCATAGGAACCACCTCTCTTCATTTTGTCTGTGTGTGTGTGTGTGTGTGTGTGTGTGTGTGTGTGAGAGAGAGAGAGAGAGAGAGAGAGAGACTCAGCAGCAATTATTCTCTTCTACTTAGGCTCGCTCTCCCCACAATATTGATGTCTACACATTTACTATTCTACAGTAAGTCATACAGACAGCATATTCAAACAGAGAAAGGGTTCCCGATAAAATTCCACCTTTGACTCTGTGTGGGGGCCAGCAAAGATAGGCAAGGATGTTACAGTGGAAGTGAGGCCAACGGGCTCCTTCCCACAATCCCCTTCCCACAGTTCTAGCCCAGAGAATGCCTGTCTAAGGACATGTTTCTGTTCAAAGCTATTAACAGGAGTTACTCCCCAAAATCCATACTTATTCACAGACTTGGGAGTGAACAGAGTAATGTAAAGCAGGGAACAGATACAAAGCAGATATCACACCTTAAGTGATAGGGCAACAACTCTATATGTTCACTATTGCAATGTCAAGTACCTCATAGGTAGTCAGCAGAACATGGAAGTCATTATTTGATTTTATGTCCTGTTGTAGCTCTGCCCGTTCTGATGCCTACACATTTACTATTCTAAGTCATACAGAGAGCATATTCAAACAGAGAAAGGGTTCCCGATAAAATTCCACCTTTGACTCTGTGTGGGGGCCAGCAAAGATAGGCAAGGATGTTACAGTGGAAGTGAGGCCAACGGGCTCCTTCCCACAATCCCCTTCCCACAGTTCTAGCCCAGAGAATGCCTGTCTAAGGACATGTTTCTGTTCAAAGCTATTAACAGGAGTTACTCCCAAAATCCATATTTATTCACAGACTTGGGAATGAACAGAGTACTGTAATGTAAAGCAGGGAACAGATACAAAGCAGATATCACACCTTAAGTGATAGGGCAACAACTCTATATGTTCACTATTGCAATGTCAAGTACCTCATAGGTAGTCAGCAGAACATGGAAGTCATTATTTGATTTTATGTCCTGTTGTAGCTCTGCCCGCTTTTCCTTGTCGCCTGAATATGTCACGAAGGAAAGCCTTGGAGAAAATCTGTTTAATTTTTAAAAAAATGACACTGAGTATGACAGATGGCACGCTGCTCTAGTCACAACTGTAGAACTGTCTTGTACTAAGCCAGACCACACATTCCTATAACCCGGGCCTATCTATGCTGATTGCAAATCATTTCCACTGAAACCTCCTGCATACAGGGTATGTACAGTACTTGAATCTGTGACCCTTCCCTCTCTACATTAAAGAATGTCTGGAAATGTTAAGAAACAAACAACAATTAGAGTTGGTCAATTATACTTGTCTGATCCTTAGAAAGAAATATTCTGGGATGGAAAGCTGTTGTTTTTTCATACCAAAATAATACCCAGTATTCACCTAACAGCTAATTGCGAAGGCAATGACATCCTTCTTCTTCTTCTTCTTCTAGCCCTGTGCACTGTCTTTCCATCATTTCCCTCAATGCAGATAAGATGCATTTATTTTACTTTTTCTCAGTTGTTGCTTGGTGTCATTTATTTTGACTACAGCAAGTTACCTAGGGCACTGTCAAATTCTTTAACAACTCTCTTTCTCAAAAGGCAACCTCTTTGCTACATGGCTGATATGCACTACAATTCCACAGTATGAGATAGATTGTTTTATTTAAAGAGAATACAGTGGTGCCCAGCTTGACGACGATAATCCGTTAAGAAACAAACAGCATTTAGAGTTGGTCAGTTATACTTGTCTGATCCTCAGAAAGAAATATTCTGGGATGGAAAGCTGTTGTTGTTTTTTCATACCAAAATAATACCCAGTATTCACTTAACAGCTAATTGCGAAGGCAATGACATCCTTCTTCTTCTTCTTCTTCTAGCCCTGTGCACAATCTTTCCATCATTTCCCTCAATGCAGATAAGATGCATTTATTTTACTTTTTCTCAGTTGTTGCTTGGTGTCATTTATTTTGACTACAGCAAGTTACCTGAGGCACTGTCAAATTCTTTAACAACTCTCTTTCTCAAAAGGCAACCTCTTTGCTACATGGCTGATATGCACTACAATTCCACAGTATGAGATAGATTGTTTTATTTAAAGAGAATACAGTGGTGCCCAGCTTGACGACGATAATCCGTTCCAGCAAAATCGCTGTGGAATGAAATCGTTGTCAATTGAAAATAAAAAGCCCATTGAAATGCATTGAAAACCACTCAATGCGTTCCAATGGGTGAAGTAGCTCATCGTGAAGCAAAGATCTTCCATAGGGCGGCCATTTTCCGGTGCCTGTAAAGCGAGGAAACACAGCGAGGAGCCATTTTGAAAGCCCGACGATCAGCTGTTTTGAGATATTCGTAAAGCAAAAAATCGGTTCCCGAAGCAGGGGACCAATCGTCGTCAAGTGGATTTTCCCCATCTAAACACTGTTTTGCGATCGCAATAGCAATCGCAAAATACTCGTGAAGCAATTTTGTCGTCTACCAGAGTAAGCATCTAGCGGGGCACTACTGTATGTTAATCACAGCAATAATGCAACACAGAAAAAAAATACAAACAGGAAATAATAGCACTACCTGATTCATTAAAGGGCTCCTAATAACTAGAAATGTCTACAGCTATAAGACTTTTTAATGTTAGCCATCAATCAATGACTGATATTTTGGATCTTTAAAAGTGAACATATTTTAACATTTGTACATTTGATTCAAGAAGTTCATAAACAAAGTTTACCTTTCAAGTTCCTCCTTCCAGTTGCTTAACACAGAGAGGGGGCAAAGGACCAAAAAGGGTCTTTTATTAAGCTTCCCACTTAAGACAACAAGCAGAGAAATAGTCTGGAATACATGGGAAAATACATAGGTTGGGTGTCATTAACCGCAGTGTAATCCTATATTAATCTACAATGATGAAATACCAGCAAGTTTTCTACATGAAACAAAGATGCACCTGGCAAGTCTTCCCAAGACCCATTTCGTCACCTAGGATACATCCATGCCAGGTTGTGTAACAGTTGGCCAACCAGTTTACACCATCTATCTGATAAGGACGCAGATGAATGCCTAGATAAAGAACAAAAAACAATATCCATCCATAAGGTTGCACAGGGATAACAGGTTAAGGCTGCAAGTTCTACGTTTTCTTAATCTTCCTGCATAAAAAAGACAGCTGTACAGAACATCTGAAAGAAATTTATCAACAGTAGATAAAATACCAACAGAATTATTCCAAGACACGGAGAATGAATTTATAGAAATCTTCACCACAAACAAGTTAATACATAAAATCAACCTATTAGAAAGACAACACAAAATGTGGTGACAAACAAATAATGAGAGAAATCAAGAAGTTTAAAGTTTAACTGGATCTTTTACAAACTGAAGAAATGCAAAAGAAACTCTCATTTCTCAAGCAGAAATATTTTGAACATGGTCAATTTTGGCACAACATTTAAGAAAGGAAGTGGAAAAAAAATGATAACAGGCATGAGGACAGCAAAGGGGATTACATATACAATGGTGCCTCGGTTAACAATTGCCCCGTATTATGACGAAATTGCTGTACGACGATCTTTTTGCGATCGCAAAATGATGGTCTAAATAGGGCTTTTTCGCTTTGCGATGATCGGTTCCCTGCTTCGGGAACTGATACTTCGCAAAACGATGTTTTTTTAACAGCTGATCGCCGGTTTCGAAACGGCCACCGGCTACTTAAAATGGCTCCCCACTGTGTTTAGGGACGGATTCCTCGCTATACAGGCAGCAAAAATGGCCGCCGTATGGAGGATCTTCACTGGACAGTGAGTTTTTACCCCATTGGAACACAATGAATGGGTTTCAATGCGTTTCAATGGGGTTTTTAATTTCGTTTTATGATGTTTTCACTTAACGGTGATTTTCCTGGAACGGATTATCGTCGTTAAGCAAAGCATCACTGTACGGAGAAAGAAATTCAAGAACAATTCACCTCCTTATATTACACAGTTATATAAGAAAGAAAAGCTGCCAGAAGACAGAACATAAGAATATATGAAGAATATAAATATTCCAAATTGAAAACAGACATTTTTAATCAAAAGATAAGAATCCAAGAGATATGCCAGCCAGTAAGAAGTCTGAAAATGGACAAAGCACCAGGACTAGATAGATTGACAGCAATCTAGTACAAAAGGCTTGAGGAAGAACTTATAACACCTCTACAAAAATTAATGAACCAAATAAGTAGAACAAAAGATCTCCCACCATCTTGGCAGGGAGCATATATAATGTTAATCTACAAAGAAGGTAACGATGCACTACAACCACAGTCATACGTACATACCAATTTCCATAATGTGGATTACAAAATCTTTGCCTCAATAATGGCAAACAGACTCAAAAAACGTATTACCAAAATAATACATTCTGATCAGATGGGATTCGTTCCTAAGACACTTATGCGACATACATTAAGATTTATAATAGATGGGATACAGCACTCAGAAAAAACAACAACAGCATTTATGTTCCTAGATGCAGAGAAAGCATCTGAAAATATTTCTAAGAAACTTCTAAAAGTTTTGCAACATCTGGAATGTGGAGCACAGTTTGGATACTGGATTCAAAGAATTTACAAAAAAAAACAAAATGCAGAAATAATAAATGGAATTTTAACACAGGGATTTATTACTGAAAAGGGAACTAGACAAGTTTGCCCATTATCACAGTTATCTTAACAATTGAGTTTTTTTGCAATCAAAATAAGACAAGATAGCCAACTGGAAGGACTGAAAATAGAGAGCAAGGAGTTCAAGCTAAGAAGTTATGCTGATGAGCCCTAAACGGTTTAGGACCTCGATACTTGGCGGAACGCTTACTCCCAACTAGTTTTACCCGTGTCACCCACGTGAGCCAGGAGGTGAGGCTGAGGAGCCTGACGCCGAGGGAGGCCCGGAAGGAAAGA